TCACCCTCTCCAAGAAGTTTGTCTTCAGAGATTTCCATACCTCTAGCCCTACCTCATTGTTCAATGGTTGTAGTCTCATCTTTCCTCCAAGTCCTCCACTGTAATTCAAGACTAGGTTCCAATATTGCTGGGACCAAGTCTCTCCAGTCTTGCTGGACAATTCTGTTACTAGTTGACCATGAATTTTAACATCTGCTTCACAAAAGGTGAATGTACACTATATGCGACTATTGCTTCCTTAAATCTCCTTAAATGTAACATTTCTACAGAAGTCCAGTCAGCCCTTACAAGCCTTGGGGATATCTGTCATTTGACAGTTCTTTTATGGTGACTGGATAAATTAAGGTTGGTTGTTTGAAAACCTTGGGCTGTTCCACTCTAATTTTATAATGTAATGCTGAGGTTGGTTCTCCTTTAAATTTCTCTGTCTGTGTTTGTATTATCCCTATGATCTGTTTTAATAAGTTTTTCTAAGTCCTGTATCTTGGCACTCATAACAACTGTTTTATAAATAAACCAAGAATTATCAAACTGATAAGCTTTATATTCCTGTTTCCTCCTCGAAAGTGCTGGGATCAAAGGCATGATCCTCCTAGTACTGGGATTAAAGGTGTAATCCACCATTGCCCAGCTCTATTTCTCTTTTAGACTGATTCAATCTGGTGTAGCCCAGGGTGGCCTTGAACTCATGATCTTCCTGCTTCTTCCTCCCAAGTGCTAGGATTAAAGTGTGTGCCACCACTGCTGGCCTCTATGGTTACCTAGTGGCTAACTCTGCCCTCTGATCTCCAGGCAAGCTTTATTTGTCAGAACACACACAGAATACCCCACAACCATTGTTACAATTGATGACAGCCAGAATGCTAGGGATTCTCTTTCTATTGTATTAGTGATTTTGTCCTTTTCCTTGGACAGAACTAGAAAACATGTATTTTAAAGGTGAAATAATGCATGAGTTCATACAGATACTTCCAATCCCAACCTTGTCAGGGTTACACCAGTATCTTCTAATATTCATAGCCAGAGTCCCAGTTAACAAGTATATTAGGAAACCGAGATTCAGGATATCCCATAATCACTCATTATATTTGCCTCACACTAGGCTTCCAATAGCCTCCAAGAAAATACTAATATTACTACAGAAATATGATTAAGAGAACTATTGAGGGGGCAGTGGGATGCCTCAGCAGGTAAGGGAGCTTGCTGCTAAGTCTGATGACCTGAGTTCAATTCCAGGGACACACATGGTGGAAACTGAAAACCATGGCATGTGCATACTCTCACACATACACACATAAAATAAGTAAATCGGGCTGGGGCTTTGGTTGAGTGGTTCAGAGCAGTTCTTCTTGAAGAGGACCAAGGTTTGGGTCCCAGCACCCATATGGCAGCTAACAAATGCCTGTAACTCCAGTTCCAGGTGATCTGATGCCCTCTTCTGATCTCCACACTGTATGCACATGCATATAAACAACCATATACATAAAATAAAAATATATCAATCTAAAAAGAAATTGTAAGTTATTGTTCAAATGTAAAGATGTGTGGCTGTTTCAACCTTGCCTGCCTAAGGCACCTGATTGGTCTAACAAAAAGCTGAATGGCCAATAGCTAGGCAGAGGAGGGACAGGTGGGGCTGGCAGACAGAGAGAAAAGAGAAGGGGAATAAGAGAAAGGGACCCCAGGGAGCAGCCAGATGCTGGCCATCGAGGCAGGGGCTAGACAGACAGACACAGAGGAAGCAGAAAAGTAGGACATACAGAATGAAAGAAAGGTTAAAAGCCCTAAGGCAAAACGTAGATGAAGAGAAACAGGTTAAATTAAGTTATAAGAGCTAGTGAGACAAGCATAAGATAAGACTGAGCATTCATGACTACTAACAAGTCTCCATGCCATGATTTGGGGGTTGGTGGTCTGAGAAAGCCTGCTACAGGAAGTATAATTTTAAAGAGTGAAATACTTTCCTGCAACCCCCCCTCCCCATTTCCTTTGGTGCTCACTGGCACTCACAAACACCCGAGTGGCTAGGAGAACAGACTAGCATTACTGCTCCCAGGTTCCCATTTTAAAACTGAATTATAGCTACTACTATGAACTGTCTGTTCTTCATTTTTGTTTTAAACGGGTCTTGCTGTGTATTTCATTCTGGTCCTGAACTAGCAGCAACTCTTACCTCAGTCTCTTGAGTGTTGGGATTACAGTGCTTACCACCCATCATGCCCAGGTACTTTCTTCCTTCTGATTTGTATGTATTCTTGTGTCTACAGGTGATACATATTTAATGCTTACCATCAGCTCATATATTGGTATCTCTCTAGTCATTTTAGTTTTCTGAATCAAGTTCTTTATTTTATTTTATGTGCATAGGTGCTTTTCCTGCATGTATGTCTGCGCACTACCTGTGTGCCTGGTGTCTGCAGAGCCCCGAAGAAGGTGGTGGAAATGTAGTCACAGACAGTTGTGAGCTGCCATGTGGGTACTGAGACTTGAACCCCAGTTCTCTGGGAGAGCAGCCAGTGCTCTTAACCTCTAAGCCATCTCTCCAGCCTGAGACTAGTTCTTTAATAGAGTTCTCAGAAAGACTCATGGGGAAATATATTTTTCCATGTTCTTGGACGTTGTTATAGCTAGTGTCTTATCTATTTGAAAGTCACATGTGTTAGGTACTATAAACTGATACACTTTTGTTGAAAATCCAAAGATATTTTCTTCCTGGAAAATATCTGATGAGGGTCTAATTTTATTGTCACTTGTTTACTTTCTCCTTAAATAGTCACAGGCTCTTTTCCTCTGAAGTCCAGGAGTTTTGCTAGACAATGTGTCAAAACAAGGTTTCTCTGGTGACTTTGGCTTTGGATTTTTTGTTTGTGGGTTGATTTGTTTCGCAGACTCTGGTTATACACCCCAGGCTGGACTTGAACTTAAATCCTCCTGCCTCTGGCTCCTGAATGCTGGGACTGATTACAGACATATGCCACTATGCCTGACTCTTTGGGTTTCTTTCTTCAGAAACTATTATCATCTAGGTCAGTTCTTTATCTTTCCACTTTTCTTCAAAGTCTCTCAAGGATATATTTATATGTGTATGGGTGTGCAGAGTCTATAGCTGGATTTACTCATGGCTGTGAACTGTCTGAGTTCACTGTGAGTACTGGGACCTGAACTCATGTCCTCTGCAGGAGAAGCATGCTCTCTTACTGAGTTCTCTCTCCAGCCCTTACCATTTCTCTTTTGGTATTACTTGCTTTGTTATTTACTCTTGGTTTTCTTCAGGTTTAATCCTTAATTTTTTTTCAGTGCTAGCAATCTGAACGTAGGGCCTTGCATATGTTGGGCAAATAGCTAAGTCTTGGCTGTATCCTCAACACTAATCTTTAACTCTAACGTGACATTTTAAATTATTTTCCAAGTTCTGCCTCTCATGTAAGTCTTACTATGTTATTACAGTCAGTCCTATATCATTTTCTTATCCATTTTGGTAGTATGGAAGTATATTTAAAGATTTAAAAAAAAAGTTTGCTGGGCTGGCAATATGATTCATCAGGTAAAGGCATTTGCTGCCAAACCTGATGATCTGAAGTCAATCACTGGTCCCCAAGGTGGAAGGAGACAGTCTATCTCTGAAAGTGTCCTCTGGCTTCCCAGGCACACATTCACAAAATCAGTGAAATGTGAAAAACTGGACTGTCATTTCAGTTTCATGGATTACTATCCATCTTCTAACACTCACTCACTAGTAAACATTCTCTGGTATTCAACACAAGGCTCTGTCACTTCCTTCTTTCTAGACACTCAAAACATTGCTGTCTCTTAGATTTAAAGATTTATCTTTGCTATTTTTGTTATTTGTGCTTGTGTGTGTGTGTGTGGGGCTGGGAGGCAACTTCATTATCTAAAGTTCACAACAACACTGCAGAAAATCTACAAAAGCTGCATCCACTCCTGCACACCCCAGATGCAGCTCAGCTGGCCTCAGAGTCTCTTTTCTCAAGCAACTGTTGCTGTATAAAATCTTGAGGGAGGGGCCTTGTGAATCTTGTAAGTTTCAGGAGCTTCCTGAGACCCAAGAATTTTATTTCCTGAGATTTGTAAGTTTCATTTACTTTCTGGGCCTTAAGCAGCCTACATTCAAGAAATAATGTTTCAATTTGAAGAAAGTAGTTGCAACACTTGGTCTATCTGTGAGGTGAGGCTCCACGTAGCCTCCTCACACCATTCTCAGGCCTCAAGTTCTAGAATTCCATAATGACAGCACGTCCCAGCTAGGGTTCCTATTACCATGATGAAACAACATGACCAAAATGGAGTTGGGGAGCAAAATGTTTTGTGGTCCATCACTGAAGGAAGTCAGGCCAGGAACTCATCAAGCAGGGCAGGAACCTGGAGCCGGGAGCTGATGCAGAGGCCACACAGAGGTGCTGCTTACTGGCTTGTTCCTTGAGGCTTGCTCAGTCTCCTTATAAAACCCAGGACCACCAGCCTAGGGATGGCACCACCCACAATGGGCTGGGCCCTCCCTAATCGATCACTAATTAAGAAAGTGTCCTACAGCTGGATCTTATGGAAGCATTTTCTCATGGAGGTTCCTTCCTTTCAGATGACTTTAGCTTGTGTCGTTGACATAAAACTGGCCAGCCAGCACACAGTTGTCACTCTTATTTTAGCATTCACTCTTATTGATCCCTAACAGGATGTCCACGAGACGAGTGCTTGTGAAGGTTTGCGTGTCCATGCATGTCCATCACCCTGACTACTCAATGGAACTTTCCAGTTTTGTAGCCGCCCAGACCCAGTGCTGTGCTGCCTCTCACCAGTCCCTTCTCTTCCCACATCTTAGCAACATCTGTGTTCTAACATCGGAAAGCACTTCTGTTCATAAAGACTTACCCAGGACACACTTAGGTGTGTCCTTTTTTATCCATCCTGCCTGGAACACAGACAGGTCTAAGTCTATATTTGAGGGACGGACATTTCCTAGAAGCATTTAATTTTCACTGTTGTGTTTTCTGTTCTTTTTTTCCAGGTAACCATTTATTGGGCTGTTTAGATTTATCTTCTTAGTGACCTGTATTCTTCACCATAATTTCTTAAGATAAGATACCTTTTCCAGGCAGGTGTGGTAGCACACCCCTTTAATCCCAGTACCAGGGAGACAGAGGCAGGGAGAATTGTTGAGTTTGAGCTCAGCCTGATCTGCATAAGGAGTTCGGGGCCAGCCAGGGCTACATATTATGACCATGTCTCAAAAAAAAAAAAAAAATCTTTTCCACATCTCCACTGTGGGGTCTCCCTTTTCCTCACGGTCTGTTGGCCGCCAGTCTGAGAGGACAAAGGGAGCAGAGGCAGCTTGCAGGGCTTTGTAGGGTTGTGAGTACAACAGAAAGAGCCTTCCAGGAGTCAGCTTCAGTGAGACAGCTCAACCTCATCCCAGAGCGAGGGGAATATATAGGATGGGTACAGCAGCGGGGACATCACCTGATAGGTGCTCATGTATGTCTGCTTCCTTTGCATTTGGCAGCAGGGTCCCATCATACAGATGGGGGCACACCACCTAATTATCACATGGGCAGCAGGGGAGAGCATTGACAGGGACCTGTGTCAAAGGTCACACTTAAGTCAGGCATCCAAGCTCAGGGAGCTTCCAGAGAAGGTCAGGCAGAGTAGGGAGCCCCTGCAGGAGGAGTCTTCCGTTTTGTGCCTAGCTCGGAGAGCCGTCCAGACATGGTGAACTGCCACCTTAAACAGCAGGGCCGTCCAACATCAACCTAGTAAAGAGAATTCAATAATGTAATAATTCTCCTTCAACATATGAATGTAGTTTTTCTTAGAAATCCAGATTTGGCCAGGCAGTGGTGGCCCATGCCTTTAATCCCAGCACTGGGAAGGCAGAGGCAAAAGGATCTCTGAGTTGGAGGCCATCCTGGTTTACAGAGTGAGTTCCAGGACAGCCAAGGCTACACCGAGAAACCCTGTCTTGAAAAAAAAATATATTAATTTTATGTCACATTGAGCCAATTTTTCCCACTAAATGAGTTTGTCATAAGCTTCCAGAAATCTTCCAGTCTTTAAAAAAAAATTGTTAATAAGGGATTATCAGGTGTTGTATTAAAGAGGGTAATATGCTAAGGCTGGCCACAGAGGCACATACCTATAATCCCAGCAGCTGGGAGGCTGAGGCAGTGAGACAGGCACCAATCCAAGGCAAGCCTAGGGCTACACAATCAAGAGCCTGTTTCAAAAAAAAAAAAAAAGTGGAAGGTAGCATGTTCCTGTTGACTGCGTCTGTAGAGACTTCTTGGACTTCAGACAGGAGCTGTCACAAGCCACGGACATTTCCCCCCCCCACTCCCACCCCCAACCCCCTCCCCGAGACAGGGTTTTGCTATGTGGCTTTGGAGCCTCTTCTGGAACTCTCTCTGTAGCCCAGGCTGGCATTCAACTCACAGAGATCCACCTGCCTCTGCCCCCCGAGTGCTGGGATTAAAGGTGTGCGCCACCACCGCCTGGCCGCCAAGGACATTCTTGATAATCTTTTGGAACTGACCTGTGGTAAGGACATTTTATTAACTCATACTTTGTGACTAGTATTACATCTGGTACAAAATAGGTACTCAGTAATAATTTGTTGTTCGTTTTTACTCTTTTCTTGGGGGGTCTGCCACCCAGCTTCCAAATAAATTACAAATAGAGGCTTATTATATTGCTTATGAATGACCGGCCTTAGTTTGGCTTCGTTTCTAGCCAGCTTTCCTTATCTTAAATTATCCCATCTACCTTTTGCCTCTGGGCTTTTCCCATCCTCTAACTTATGTAAATCTTACTCTTACTCTGTGGCTTGCTGTGTAGCTGTGTAGCTGGCCCCTGGAGTCATCCTCCTTCTCTGGCTCCTACATCTTAGATTCCCAATCCCAGATTTCTCCTTCTATATATTCTCTGCCTGCCAGCCCCGCCTATCCTTTCTCCTGCCTTGCCATTGGCCATTCAATTCTTTATTAGGCCATCAGGTGTTTTAGACAGGCACAGTAACACAGTTTTACAGAGTTAAAACAAATGTAATATAAACAAAAGTAACACACCTTAAAATAATATTCTACTACAGTAATTTATTTAATTTTGTTTTCTAATAATCCTACCCAATGCCTACCTGTATATTCCTGCTTTTATTTTATTTTTTTTTTCTATTCTATTTTCCTCAGAATTGCTTTCAGTTAGACCTGAGGGCTTAGCTCAGGGGTAATATACTCCCTAAGCACTCAGTAAGTGTCCTCAGCATCAATTGTTTTTCCTTTTCTAAAAAATTGAAGATCGCTTACAATGTTTCCCCCAAGAATTGCAAAGCCACCATAGAAAGACGAGTGCAGTTGGCCACCCAAATCACCAATTCCAACGGTGGGCTGTGCAGCGGAGGAAATGAATACATGGTTCACCTGCATGCTTTATTTGTGTTTAAGTAAACCACAAAAACTGCAAAGCGAAAAATAATTGAAAAAACAAAACCCAGAAACCCAAGAATTGGGGGTGAGGACACCAAGCCCTCCATGGACAGTGGCCGCCTGATCCTCACAGCTACCAAATGGCAGGCCGGGATTCCAGCCCAGCCAGCGGATCCAGACACCAATGAACCGGAGCTATTTATGATTATTTTTTAATAAACACTATTAGTCTCTACAATATTTATATTTCTCACTTAAATTTTTTTAGCTTAGTCACTATGGAAAACATTAAATAGCTGTTATATCTCTACATTTTAAATTTTACATTTATTAATTTGTGGGGGGCATGTGTATGCCACAAAACACGTGTCTGAGGACACCTTGAGAGAGCTGGGTCTCTCCTTCCTTGCGGGTTCTAGGGGTCGAGCTCAGACTGTTATGCTTGGTAGTAAGCAGCCCACCTGCTGAGCTGTCCCAGCAGCCCCCACATCTCTACTTATTTATGAAGTACTTTTTGTTGTTGTCGTTAGAGACAGGGTCTCACTATGTAGCTCTGGCTGTCCAGGTTGGCTTTAGACTCACAGAGATCTGCCTGCCTCTGCCTCCCACGAATTCTGGTGTTAAAGTTGTGTATCACCAGGCCAGGCTTAATTAAGTTCTTGGTAAGAGTACTCTTGTAATAACGGGGATGGCCTCAAACTCACAGAGATCCACCTGGCTCTGCCCCCAAGTGCTGGGATTAAAGGCGTGCGCCACTGCCGCCCAGCTTAACTGTAGTCTTGATGCAAGGAAGGAAACCTTGTCTCTCTGTGTGTGACAGGGGTGGTGTCTCACTAATTAATGCAGCCTCAGCCTCCAAGAAGCTAGGATATAGGTGTGTGCCACCCAGCCCAGCTAAAAGCTTTGATTCTTGATCTTCTATGTATTTCATTTACTTATTTTTAAGATTTCATTTTTAAATTATGTGTATATCTGTGTGTGTTTGTGGTATGTACACATGAGTATGGGTGCCCTTGGAGGCCAGAAGAAGATGTTGGATTCCCTGGAGCTGGAGTTATAGGTAGTTGTAAGCCACCTGATATGGGGTGATGGGAGATATTGGGTCTTCTGCAAGAACAGTATCTGGTCCTAACCATGGAGAGCTCTCTCCAGCTCCTTCTAAGAACTGTAATAGGGTTTAGGGATTTAGCTCAGTGGTAGAGCACTTGCCTAGCAAGCACAAGGCCATGGGTTCGGTCCTCAGCTCCAGGAAAAAAAAAAGAATTGTAATAATCAGCATATTTGCTGAGTGTTACATAATGCACCCCAAGATATCATGTTTTTTCCTTTATAATAAATTGCACCAGTCTATTTACTCATGGAAGACTATCATTCTCCACATAGACTAAATACTTTGTCATGGTGTGCGCTCTTTTTACTACCGGATTGGTAACACTGATAGAATTGTAATGGTCACTCTAGTCTTTGTAACAAAATCACAGTAAAACCAGAAATGTTTCCCTAATCTTTAGGTGCTGTTTTACAGTAGTGATATTGTGCTAGCCCTGGGGGAAGGGACTCAGAATTCTTCTATCAGGGCGCATGCGTGAGTGGTGGGGTGGGATTTTCTCCTCAAAGCCAGCCAAATTTGGGAACTCCATCTCTGCCCTCTTCCTTCCAGAGATGCCCCACAGTACCGCTAGTCTCTTGACCAGGATTTCTGGCTAGTTCTCAAGGTTTCTCATAAGCTGAGTTCACAATGCTGATCCCCAATAAAACCCGTGTGTATTCTCCAACATTCTCACTGTTGGAGAATTCCCTCTAAGCCTATGCTAATTTCATCCCGTGGGCTTGCTGAAGCGTGGTTATAGCCTAACAGTTCAGGCCAGTATCTTGTAGTTGCTCCACACTGGTAGCAAGAATTCTATGTATTTAGCTGTCTGAATCCTGGGAAGTTATTTTTATTCTGTGGATGGAAAAATAAACACGTTACATAGGAATTAGTGGAGGTACCAGAACTTAAAATCAGGAATATGTGGTTTTAAAGTGATAGCTTTAACATAACTCTCACGGCCTCCATGCTGTTCCGCAGGTACTCATGTTACCTGCATGGCTTCCATGGTCCTTTAGCGACGCACTTCACAGTTGTACATTTACACTCTCAGGTTTTCTGTTCTTTCTTCTGTGTAGTTCTTGTCTGGCAGAATAGCTTGCGGAATACTCTCAAGGCCTCTTTTATTTCTTGGATTCATATAAATATCCCAGGAAGTGAAGGAAAAGATGATTTGTAGTTTTTTTTTTTTTTTAAAACTCTTTGCCCGTTGTGGGCCCAATATCCAGCTTCCAAATAAATACACAGAGACTTATTCTTACTTATGAATGCCTGGCCTTAGTTTGGCTTTCTAACCAGCTTTTCTTAAATTATCCCATCTACCTTTTTATTTCTGGGCTTTTATCTTTCTCTATTCTATATACTTTTCTTTCTTTCTTACTCCATAGCTGCCTGGGTGGCTGGCCCCTGGCATTCTCCTCTCCTCCTCTTCCTCTCTCCTGGATCTCCTTCTCTCTCATTTATTCTCTCTGCCTTCCAGCCCCGCCCATTTCTCTCTCCTGCCTAGCTATTGGCCATTCAGCTCTTTATTAGACCAGTCACGTGCTTTAGACAGGCAAAGTAACACAGCTTCACAGAGTTAAACCAACGCAATGCAATGTAAAAGAATGCATCACGACTTTGCATCGTTAAATATTCCACAGCATAAAACGAATGCAACACCTCTTAAACGATATTCCGCAATGATTGAATACAAAGAATCCATGCTGTATTCGTATAAGATGTGGACTGTCTTGCAAATAGAAATATCAAAAACTCCCTTTCAAAATAAGTTTTTTAACTCTGCCTGCTCCTCTCCAGGAGCATTTTGGCGCTCCTCCCAAAATTCATGTCTAAACCCTGAAGAGATTGGCATTCGAGAAAGGAGGTCGACTCCCGCCTCACTCAAGCTCATCCCCCAGCGGCCCCGGGGGCGCGCTGGAAACCGCACCTACTGTGTGGTCTTGTCACCGAGCCGGGAGCGTGAACCTGCGGGGTCCCCGCTCCGGGCCTTCGCTTTGACAGAGGCCCCAGGAGGAGTCACGTGGAGCCCGAGCGCGCTCCCCGCCAGCCTTGCGCAATGACG